AAATTCCTTCAAACACCTTTCCACCCTCCCAAATCCCCCCAAACCCAAGCTCTCCCACATTCCCCTAGCTCCCAAGCCCCCCAAATCACTCCAAACACCTTTCCACCCTCCCAAACCCCCCCAAACCCAATCTCCCCCAAAAGCCCCCACATTCCCCTAACTCCCAAGCCCCGGGCCCGTGTCCCGGTGCCCCCAGCCCGTTCCCAGCCTACGGCAGCCGCGGCCGGGGTGTGCAGCCGCACGATGCAGCGGATGTCGGGGCGCGCCGCGTAGATGGCGGCGTGCAGGCTGAAGCTGCGCGCGTCGGGGGCGAAGCCGGTGCTGCCCTGCTCCACCACGGCCCCCAGCACGTTCACCTTCACCTGGGGGGCACGGGGGGCTCAGGGGCTGCTCCCGCCCCAGGCAGCCCCGGGGAGGGATGCGGGGGCTCACCAGGCTGGCTGCTGTCACCTCGCTGCACGCCAGCCCCTGCGGGGCCACCAAGAAGTGCTCCTGTTCCTTGCTGACCCGCAGCTGCCACGGGGGACGGGGTGGGGTGAGAAGCAGCCCCAAAAAAAAACCCCAAATTAACATCCCTGAGAAAGCTCCACACTTCTCTGATGGCCCCTAAACCATTAAAACACTTCCAAAACTGCCCCCAAACCAACCCAACAACAACCCCAAAACCCCACAAACTGCCCCCCAAAATTACCCACAAACCTTCAAAATCCTAGTACACCTCAAATGTCCAAAACCCAAATCACCGACATCCCTCTAGGAACCCATCAGCTCCCAACCTTCCAAAATCCACCAACCCCCAAAATCCCACCAGAGAACCCCAGGCCCCCTGTTTTTCTGGGTCGGTGACATTTTGTCTCAGTGACAGCAGCATGTCCCTGTTGTGCTGAGCTTGTACCAGTCCAGCAGGCACCAAAAGCCCCCTGAACAGCCAAAACAATCCCAAATCCCCCCCAAACACCCCCAAACCCCCCTATTTTGGGGTGCTCACGGTCACGGCGGCGTGTCCCAGCTGTGCCCAGCCGTACAGGTCCAGCAGCCGGTGGATGCTGCCCACCTTGCAGCGCATCAGCCGCTCGCCCTTGGCCAGTGCCGGCCCCTCGGTCCCGTGCAGGTCATTGATGGGGGTGACCGACGCCAGCCCTGGGGATCGGGGACCCCCCAAAACCACGGGGGGGCTCAGCGGGGGCAGAGGGTTGTGGGGATGGGTTTGGTGGCTGGCAAGGTTTGGTGGTCCCCGGGCATCAAAGGTTTGGTGGTTCCCCAGGTTTGATGACCCCAAAGATTTGGTGGGCCTCAAAGGGTTTGGGGGATCCCAGGGGTTTGGTGGCACCCAAAGAGTTGGTTCCAAAGGTTTGGGAGTCCCCCCAAGATCCCAAAATTTGGTGGTCTCAAAGGTTTGCTGACCCCAAAGGTTTCTGGGGTCCTCAAGGTCCCAAAGGTTGGGTGGTTCCAAAGCATTTGAGGCCCCTGAAGGTTTTTGTGAGATTTGGAGGTTCCAAGGTTGCAAAGATTTGGCGTCCCCCAAGAATTTGGGGTTTTCCCACACCACCCCTCGTCCCCACGGAGCCCCACGTACCCATGGGGGAGGTGGGCAGGGCGGCGGGGGACGTGGTGGCCATGAAGTCGGCGATCTGCCGCAGCGCCCACACGTGCGACGAGTTGTTCCCCTTCTTCATCTGCTCCTGGATCAGGCTCTCCAGCTCCTCCCGGAAGGACTGCGGCACGGGGACAGGTGACAACGGGCCGGGTGGCACCGCTGGGGACATCGGGGCAGGGGCAGCGCCGTGGCTTGGTGGCACTGGCAGGTTGGTGTGGGGGACACCATGGCTCTGGTGGTACTGCCAGCTTGGTCACACAGTGATAGTGACATCACCAGCTCGGTGACACGGTGGTGGTGGCACTGCTGACTTGGTGGCAGCAGCACTGCCAGTTCAGTGCCACAGTGGTGATGGTGGCATGGCCAGCTCGGTGACACGGTGATGGTGGCACTAACACTGCCAGCTCGGTGCCACGGTGGTGATGGTGGCACAACCATCCTGGTGTGGGTGACACCGCTGGCACAGTGGCAGCAGTGGTGCTGGCAGCTCAGTGACAGCAGCACCGCGGTGGCAGTGGCACTGCCAGGTGGGGACACGCACCACCACGTGGTGACATCTTGGGGACAGCAGGGATGGGGCGGTGACAACCAAGGATGGGGCCAGGGACAAGGAGGGGTTGGCGACAGGAGGGACGGGATTTGGGCCAGGAGGGGTGGGGGACGTGCAGGAAGAGGCTGGGGACACGAAGGATGGGGTTTGGGGACACGAAGGACAGGGTTTGGGGATGTAAAGGAAGGTGTTGGCACAGATGGGACGGGGTTGGGGACAGACAGGACGGGGCTGGCACTGATGGGACAGGGTTGGGGACAGACGGCATCAGGCTGGGGACAGACAGGATGGGGTTGGGGACAGCAGGGACGGGGTTGGCACACACGGGATCGGGCTGGGGACAGCAGGGACGGGG